GTTTGTGTCTGCGTATATTGAAATGCAGTCTTCATAACATTGCCTCATTAGTAGCATGCCTCCCCTCCAGTGGCTATTAAGATTTCTTTTAGTGATTCTTTTATACCAGAGTTGCATCAGAAGCAGGATTTATTTTTCAAATAAATAAGAGCATAATATTTAATGTACTGGTAGAAGTTCCTTTGCTGTGCAAAACAGATCTCTTTTATACCTGACGGTAATGAAACTGTTCCTCAGCAAAAAGTAAGAATAAACTCATTTTAGGTTTTAAGACTCAAACAAGGTAATCAGTATTTTTGATTATTAAGCATCAGAATTTAAATGCATAAATAATTTATTGAAAATTTCAGAGGACAGAGATTTCACCAGCTGAAGTTTCCCATCATGCTGATAAAATGACAGAAGCCAGGAACCAGAATCTTCTCTTTTATGTTTCACTTAACCTACAGAAGCCCTTGTGGGAGGATGTTGTGCAAGGCAAACCAATTTATAAACAATCTCCATATCTCCTTTGTTATGCTATGAGACTAATGTGTTTCTACAGTCATGTTAGTAGACAATTTTGACCTCCCCTGTAACAAGTATTAGACCTCATTCCACTATGGGGATGTTATTATCGTATTCCTTTATACAATGTGAAAGTTTCCTTGGCATGGTAAATATTAATACCACTTGTAGTGTTGGACTTCATAGACATTTATAGACTACATCCTTTCTGTGCTGAAAAAGAATCTCATCTCAATTCATGTGACTAAGTGTAGTAAACACCAGCCCAGGACTGTTCCAACAGTCTGGCAGTTGAATCAATGTATCATAAACAGCATTCAGCACATAGCAGCCCAGGAATGACACCACATGTATGACCTGATACCAATTAATATTTTAAGCCCTCCACAGGACTGCTGTGCCAGTTAGATGCCCAGCACCTGTACAATTTAACATCTGTAAGCCTTGATCTTGGTCTCAGAACAGGTAGACCTAAAGTAGGTGCTGAGCCATGCTTCTTGTCTTTGGTATTTAAGATTTCTAGAAAGTCGCATGACAAGGTGATATAAGACAAAGTGCCTGATGAAAGGTTGAAGACTGCCTCGTGGAGAACAGTCACCCTCTCTATATACACCCAAATCTTGCCTCTTTCTGGGATCTCTCATGAGCCTATGTTGTGTAGTGGTCACAGTATTAGATTAGCACGGGGGACCTAGATCTTGTCATAATAAAATGGGTTCTACAGTCATAGATACCAGCTTGAGCTTCTTGTCCTCCTGCACAGCACATCAGTGGCTCTCATCTTCAATGTCTGGCTCATGAAATTAGACTAAGCTGTGGTCATAGGAAAATATTAGTAAAAGAAGTTGTTAAAAGTAGTAGTTCCAAGACACAACAACCTTGAAAGAATTGGTTCAAAACAGAAACATGAATTTTCATTCTCTGCGAAATATACACTTTTTGGCGCGGTATAGAACACTTTTTTAAAATATATAGTGCTTATTTTGCAATAGTCAGAAATATGCTTATAACTAATGTTGCTAATACTTAAGTACACTGACTATTCCCCAGCTTTTAGTCCAACTTTTCTAAAACTTCTTGTTCAGGGAAGGCGGAATGGAGGAGTCCTAAGCAAAATCCAGTCACTTTTGCAGGAACTCTAGAGCTTTGCCTTGTTCTATGTGCCAAAGCAGCATTTCTCAATAATTCTTGCTACCAAAAAAGCCAGATATACATAAAACCAAAACCAAAAAATTAAAAAAAGAACCCAGCCCCCCTACCGCCCACTTCTATAGCCCTGTGTACCTGGGGGTAAATCCCATTAAACCCAACGGGATTTACCTCTGTATTAACATAGAGAATGTCTGCATTTCTGCTAATCTATGAGACTGCAGAATTTCTTCACTGAAGAAACCATACTGCAATATACATCCTTTCCTTTTTTTTGTTTCTTAAATTGTGCCAGTGTCGTCATAATGGTTTTATTCATTGCGCACCATGGAGCAAGAAGGTGGAACACAGATAGGAATTACCGAGAAAAGCAAAGAAAAAAGGAACTCTGAAAAGTTGGAAAGCGAACCGATTTTACTTACATAGTCTGCCCTCGGAGAGAGCGATTGCTGTCATAAACAGACAGGAAATAAACAAGCAAATCACGCAGTGTAGCCTCATCCTTAAGGGGAGTAGCCGCGGTGGGTTACGTAGGGCGGGCGCGTTGTAGGGGGCTAGAGAGGGGGATGCCGTTTTGCTGCTGCTGCTGCTGCTGCTGCTGCTCTCCGTACCCGGTGCCTGGGAGTGATGCAGCAGGGAAATGCTCTGCCAGGTTCCCGTCCTCCTCCCGCCGAGGGGGAGGGGGGACTGATGGGGGATGGGAGAGGGCTGCATGAGAACAGAGGACATTTCCAGGAAACACTCGCGTGGTGGTAAACAGGATGCATGGGAGGGGGACCTTATGTCCACGGCCGAGGTCGCTGAACCTCCAATGGTGCTGATTGCTAGCAGCTCACTGAAAAGGACGGTGGGAAGGGAGATGGGTGGGGTGAGATATAAGTGGTCTTTTGATTGTGCATTTCCCTTTGCTTTCATTCCCATAACATAGAACAGGCTACTTCAACTCCTAAAACCGTATCTCTTCCTAAATTAAAGATGTCCATATTTAATTACTAGGTATTACTTACTAGATACAGTTTATGATGTGACCTTTTACTGGATATAAAGTTAATTCACATCAGTTTTCATATAGATGTCATTGTTTGCCCTAAAACTGCAAAACTGGCATGAATTCAAATCACTGGACTGGATTCAAACCAAAGGGGCAGGCATTTTATAAAGTTGTAGATTTTAATTTAACTTTTAGGAGACTTTTTCTGGCTATGAAGATCATCTTAAGAAAGCCGGTACCTGGACCTTCTAGGGAAGAAAATATTCACATACACATGTTCGAAACTGATCTCTAGACAGGTTAAGCTCATTGACAAAGAAGCCTTCTCTAGAAATAGTGGAATCATAAACACTAAGATTGCAATCTTTAAGCCTGTACCTATTTAATTAAACTCAATGAAACTTACTTCTGTGTAGATGTGCATAACACATCTGCACACCTGTGATTGCTCACCCAAGAACAAGCCTCACTGAATTCAATAGGGCTACTAAGTGAGTTGATATATATATATATAGGACTGAATTATATGAGTTGTATGCTTTAGTTGTATGTTGTAGTCCATGCTTTCATGGACTAGAGCCCATTGTAAAATTCAGAGTTATTTCAATATTCAGAAATTCATTGCAGACTTTGCTTATTCTTGAGAATTAGTGAATGGTCTGCAGGAGTTTGTGTTGCTACAACAGGATAGGATTTGATGCCTTACAATCAATACAAAGTTGTTTGGCAAATGAATAATGTCAATTTATCACTGTTAAATTTCATTGGTTGCCCTTCTACATGAAACTTAGAAACAAGGCTTTCCTTGTGCGATCGTACTGCCTTATTCACAGTATTTTTCAGGGAGTCCAGGGATTGTCATCTTCCATTTGTTGCTATTCCTTATTTTGCCTATTGTTTTATCTTGTTTTCCTAGGAGAAGAAAATAATCAGTTAAGGAAGAAAAGGTGGACTGGCAGTAGAATGCCTTTATTTAAATTAGGAGCCTTCTGTTTACAAACACTGCTGTCTTCAAAAGTAGGTTACAGTTTAAATACACATAAGCACAATAAAAACATAACAGTATCAGAATAGGGTGAATGCACCCAGTCAATATCCTGTACACATCAAATCCCAATTCATTGTGAAGGGTCGTAAAAGGAAGCACCTTTAAAACAATTTCATGTGTCCAACATATTTTGGTCGAGAAAAAAGAGAAACACTGGTAGGCGAGCCACTTGCACAACCTCCAGAAGCTAACTCCCAGTCCATTTGGACTGGTTTCCTGAAGCAAATTCAAGTGTGGACAACAGCTGAATTATTCATCAGATCCGGCCGGCCAAACAAATCTGGCCGGCCAAACAAAGAGGGGCTCCCAGCCAAAACAATGCAATTTCTTAACTCAGCTAAAATGTCTTTTATTTGATGCTTTTGCTTATTACTCCTTTCGAGAAAGTGGGCACGTGGGCGCCAGGCTGCCTCAAGGCAGAGCTCCCATCTACGCCGAACTCAAGGTGCCAGATCGCTCTGGCTGAGCAAGTCATGTTGGCATTGGAGGCAGACGATCCTGTCAAGGCACAGCAGCACAAGGAATTAGGCTGGCAGTTTGCAGGCCCTTCTTTTGTCTGAACACGCATAAGATAACTGGCTGCCTTTTCAGGCCACACAAAGAACACCCTGCCTAAGGGTCAGGGGGCTGCAGGAGCAGTAGAGGCAGCTGCCTATTGTCACCCCTGCGACGGTGCCCAGAGACAGCCTCAGCTGCCTGCTGTCCGGGTGAGTGCGCGGGGAGGAAGCCAAGGAACTGCATGCCGCAGACAAAAGGCTATCCAAGGTGAGCGGGACACATTCCTTAGGAGAGCGTCAGGGGATGCGGTTGTGCCCGGGACTGGTGCGCATGAGCCTTCCCAAGGAATGGGGGGGAGGGGGGTTTTGCCGCAGCCAAGCAGTGCCGAAACATGAGACCGGCGCGAACTCCCGCGGTACAGCACTCTCAGCCTTACGAACAGCGATGTCTTCTCGCTGGCCACGCACAAAGAAAAACGCGCCGCCTCAAACAAGAACTCCACGCTTAACTCACTTAGCTCACCCTCGAAACCTATTCCCCCACCTCCCGAGGAAAGTATGGTTGACATATGTCCATCAATCAAGCCACCTGCCGCTTCTCATTGGCTATTTTATTTCCGGGTTCTCCCCCTCACGCCTTTCTTTCGCTCTTTTGTAACCATTGGAAACTAGCTTGGTTACGCGTCCTTACTGCGCCCCGTTGTTATCGCACTGTATGGAGAGCCGACCAATAAGCGAGCTCCGACAGCGTCACGTGAAGAGGGGAAACAGCGGGAGAAAAGAACACTGTCACGTGGTTTGGTGGCTGGAGGGGTCGGTCTGGGAATTCGTGGTTTGTCCGGGGGGCAAGGGGTGCGGCGAGAGGAAGGTCAGGGGCGTTGCTGTGGTGGTTGCGTGGCGACTCGAGGGAAAGTAGGCAGGCCTCTCTCGGCTTAGCGGTGATGTGGGGGACGAGAGTTCCTGGGCCGCTGCTGTTGGCCGTAGGCTGTGACTGGGACCCAGCTTCGCGCGTTTATGTCCCCCGATCTGGTAAGAGAAAGCGCTGGTAAGAGAGGAGCCCCTTATGCATTTCGCGGGAAGTTGCTCCTTGAGTGGCTCAGATCCGGCTTACTCTGGAGCCGGCACGCACGCTTTTAGTACGTTATAGTAATGTTGATAAGAAGTTAGTGTTGTCCTATGGAAAGAATAATGGGCTTAGACCAGCGAGTCCTGGGTTCAAGCTTCCACCTAGTCACAAAGCTGGGCCTACCTTGGACCAGTACTACACAGTCTTATCTCTCTCACAAGGTTTATTGTGAGAATTTTTGTGTGAAGAGGGGATAGGCATCCCGGGTTGATCCAGGGTTTGCCTTTTTGGGCTGAAGGCAACCTTCCTCAAGCTGACCCCTCCAGATGTTTTGAATTTTAACTCCCATTATCTCAGGCAGAATAGCCTGTACCCAGGAATTCTTCAGAGTTGTAGCTAAAAACATTGGAGGACGGTGGATTAGGGAAGGCTGGTGTAAGGGCTTTGCTCATGGAAGGTGATTCTACTTGAACTTGGGGAATTTCCATCGAATCCTTGTATAACATTTGCAGACCATTCTATGATCTTGCATTTGTTGTGTGCCAAGATACAAATCTGAAATAACATAGACTGACAGAAACACATTCATTAAACTGTCCGATCTTGTGTTTTCTGGAAGCGTAGTGGTATAAAATCTCCTAGCCAAAATAGAAATCCTGTGCATCTCTCTGCCTCTGTTAAGTTCAGGATCCACAAAGTAGGTATTCAGAGAACATTTTATCTTCACTTTCTGTAAATCCTTTGTGAGACCGTGAGATCTAGTGTGCCTCTCCTCATTGCGGTACAGAAATGTGTGTCTAACCCACATGAAAGATACAGTGCTATACTTTTTCTACATTGTATTTCCAGCACAGTAGCATTTTTCAATGTGGTGACCATGCATCTCTGTGAAATAAAAAGATATTGTAACACATACTATATTTAGTGGCCAGCTTTACAGCAGGAACTCTTCATTAAGCTTGTACTGAAAGAATAACGTTTGGCAGCAATTGCTTATTAACTGTATTCTTTATTCTGTCCCATTATTTTAACAGTAAAACAGCATCTGAGTTGATCTATTTCACTGAGCTGTATCTTTGACTGGAACTCCAGAATCTGTCTTCAAGCTGCGTTTGTAAATTGACTTGCTGTTCTGTATGGCTAGAGATGTATAGTCTGATGGCCAATTGCTGCAACTGGCTAAAGCAGTGGCGCGAACCTGTCAGGTAAAAAAGGAAACAAAAAACTCTAGATATGTGGAAGAAACTTTTTAAATAATTGGTCTAAAGATAGCACTGTGCACAAGAGGTGTCAAAAAGGTTAAATGTGTATAGCTGTCAGGCCATTTGCCTTTTACAAAAGATCAGACCAAAGTAAATTATCTAAAGTAAAACATGTTAACTCTATTGTAGCGTAAGATCACATGGGCTACAGTCAATTTCTTCAGATGCATGAAGGTTCATCTGCCTCTGGCTTAGGAAAAAATGAATAAAAATGATTGATAAAATGCAACTCAGAGGGGGAAAATGAAATGTAGAAAGTACAAGCAGTACTAAACTGATTCTGTGTCAGATTTTTCTTCACTTCCTCTTACGTTGCTGGCCCTGTGACAGAGATCCAGTGTAACTAAGCTCCACAGTTACTCAGCACAGCTTGCATAGAATGCCTTGTCAGGGTTCTGAAGAATCCTGGTTTATCTTCACAAGCTGACTGTTGGTTTCTGCCAGAAAACTAAGCAGAAAATTACCAGGAAGGGTTTGTTTAGCTGACCTGGGTTTCCTGGCTTGTTGTTTCTTAACAAACCAAAATCTGAAGTTTAATTTTGTCACTGATGTATGATTTTTGGCTTGTCTGAGGGCAAAAATCCCCAAATCCAGGTGTGGACATACTAACTTTTCCTCCTAATGTGTTTAATATTTCATAAGTTGATTATACTGGTGGAGGAGCCAAGTGAGAGTAATGGGGCAGTATTTACTAGCATGCTGCTTATGGATGATAAGTCAAGGTTCAAAACTCTGATTTATTATTCTGTGCAAATGCCTGTCTTCCCCAGTCTGGTACCTTCCAGATGATTTGGACTGTAACTCCCAGAATTCCTGTCTATGCATTATGATAGCTGGTGTGGATGGCAGTAGAAGTCCAAAATATTTGGAGAGCACCAGGTTGAAGAAAATATTTCCTTATGCTGCAATCTTATACATGTAAATAGGAGTAAGCTAGTAAGATGAACTTTCTTCTTAGGTTTGTGTTGTAAATATTTCAAAGGTGTGTATACTCCTGTTCATAGTATACAGTTCTATAAACCAAAGGCAGCTAGAAATTGCCCTGGCAAATTAATTTTGGCAGCATTCCTTAGCCATCAAGACTAGTTAGGGAAAGATGGCAGTTTTAGGACATTTTTGTGTGTGCTGCATGTGTGCAGCTGAGTCCTGCAAGATACATACTTTTCATCCAATGCAAGATGGGAAGTGATGCAAAAATGATCTTCCCTTTGGGAAGAGATGCCGAAGTGATCTTCTTCCCTGTACCTCCACCCTGCAGTTTTTGCTAAAGGGGCTTTTTTATCTATCCTTAACACTTTAGATGACGAAAGGAGGATGGAGAAGCATCAGGATAGTTTGTATCATGTCTTCTCCAGTCTCTTGTCCTCCCTACCCACTGAAATCCCTATTTTTCCCTCTCTGAATTCATTTTTCTGACCTCAGCAAGCTGCCAGCACTATTACTTTTGGGTTGTCTACAAGGCAGGAAGAGGAGAAGGCTCTCATGTGTTAGCAGAAAGGTGGTATAACTTGTTGAAATGGAAGAACTAGTAGAAAAAGATACATCATTCTTCAGAATGTTTTTTTTAATTATGTCAACATGCTAGCTTTCCTATTTTACCGAGCCCATACCAATCCTCACCTGTATCCATCTGTTTTTGTTGGCAACTGATCTAAAATAAAATACGGTTTTATTTTTGTTTTAATACAGTTTCTGCAGTGGTTTGCCTAAAATCCATGCTGTCCAGTGCCAAATTTTATGAAATAAACTGTTGCTCAGGAGATAACATTGAATTGAAATATATAATGTGTTGCGCAGGCTTCATTTATTAATTCATATAATTAAAATCAGTGATATTTAGAACTATTCTTTCCTTATTCTGAGATTTGTTGAAACTGTATTTTTAGGTGACAGATGCCCAGCACGTGGCAATGGAGTCAGAAAAACTATTAGCTCACATAAATATATTAGCTTAATCATTTTCCTGTGGATTGAATGATTTTAAAAAAACAAGGCAAACTCATGCATGGTTTTGAATTTACATACCTTTAAATAGAAAAAATACTTTAAAAAAGTATTCCTACTTTCTCAAAAAGAAGGAGATATGCATAAGAAGTTTATATTGGTGGAATCCCTGTTTGTGTTTTTATTTGCCATTTTTGAAAAATCCTCTTTGGCCAAACTGATACTGTATTAGAATCGTTCATATGTGAAGATCAAGGTTCCCAAGCCTTACTTTCTTTAATTAGGGCTTGATGTGAGTCTAGCGTACTTCTCCAGGATGTTGTAAGAACAAAATAGGTAAGAACCATGAGAACTGCCTTAGGTTCTTTACCGGAGAAAATGGTAGAATATTCCATGTATTAATAAAAAAAAGGGCCTCTTAGTATTTGCAGGGAGCATTATTGAGCAAGCTAAATAAGCAGATGGGGGAACAGATAGTTAAAAGCCATCTTAGCACAGAAGGTGTAACCATACTTTAATATGGAGAATTGGTAGAACCTCTCTATATTCTCCAAGTAATGCAAGCACATTTACTGTTTTAAATTGTTTTTGGTAGTCAAAAAGTGCAGATAAGCTTTTCGGCAAAAGATGAATATTCCTTCAACTTTATGCAATATTGAGAGCTTCCTTGCTACCTTTCCCTAAAGCTTCAGCTCATTCAGAGAAATAGAAATATCTAAACATTGTACAAAGCAGCTTTCTTCTTTATAGGCAAGGATACACATCATAGGAAATCAAATAAACTGGAAATAATCCATGATTGCTTGCTTACTAACCCACATTACTCCCAACGAGTGATAGAGCATTCTGCAGCTTGAGGTGGCTTGTTTCCTCTTTATTCCATCTGTCTGCTTCCACTATGTATATCTTGGGCCTTTGCTGCACAGCACCATGTATCCTCATCTCTACAGAAAGAAACTTTTCTGGTTTCCTATTGTGGTTTGAGAAGGATGCCAATAGGTTTGGTTTTTTAATTTTTATTTTTCTGTCATGAACAAGTGCATACAATTATTTGTATGATCTTTGTATGTCTTGAAATATCACTTGTCCATTGCATCCTCTCAATAGTAGACTTGGAAGGGGCCAAGAAAGCCATTGGGTCCAACCCCCTGCTGTTTCAGGTCACCAATTTACTTTATCCCATGTGGGAGAGACCACAAACTCTCTAGGCAACTGGTTCAGCTGTCATATTGCTCTGACACTTTTCCTGATAACTAGCCTGAATCTGGGTTGTTGCAACTTGAATTGATCATTCTGTGTCCTATACTCTGGTATCCGCAAGAAGAGATCTTGACCTTAGCTCTTTGTGGCAGCCTTTGAGGTACTTCTAGAGGGATATCATGTCCCTTCTCAGTCCTCTTCTCAAGGCTGAACATGCCCAATTCTCTCAGTATCTCCTCATAGGACAGTGTTTGCAAACCCTGGACCATTTTTGTTGCTGTCCTCTGGACTCTTTCTAGTTTTTCTGCCTCTTTCTTAAATATTGGTGCCCAGAACTGGACACAGTATTCCAGATGACGTCTGACTGGTGAGGAGTATTGGGGAACTACTGCTTGTGATTTGGAAGTAATACTTGTGTTAATATATCCTAAAATAATTTGCCCTTTTTATGGCTTCATTGCATTGTTGGCTCATATTTAGCCTGTTGTCCACAGTAACTCCATGGTTTTTCTTTCAGTTTTGTTGAGCCACATATTCCCCATCTTGTATAAACACATTTGGTTTCTTTTTCCTAGGTGAAGGACTTGGCATTTGTCCCTATTGAATCTAATTCTGTGGCTTTTAGCCTGGTATTCAAGTTTATCAAGATCACCCTGGGCTTTTTCTATTTCACCTAGTTTTGTATCTCCTGAAAATTTGGTTATCTTTCCTTGTATGTCCTCATCTAAATCATTAATACAGTTGCTTAAGAGCACTGGGCCTAGGACTGAACTCTGTGGCACCCCCAGAGAATGTGCCATTGATGAACACTCTTTGTGTCTGATTTAACAGCCAAGTTTGGATCCACCTAATAATTTTTCTGTCTAGTCCACTCTTTGCTAATTTGCTTATCAGGATGTTGTGGGGCACTATGTGAAAAGCTTCGCTCTCCTTGAACTGACACTTGTAAACTTTCTCCCCCATTTCAGTTCTTCTGAATTTTAAAAGCAGCAGCTGAGAGCATGGAGCTCTTGGGGTGGGTGGATGGAATTACAGCAGGAGTATGGATATATTTGATGCAAAAATGCCCCCCCCCCCGTCATTTGAGAGTGTACTTTTTCTGATGCTCGCAGTTAAACATGGATACCTACATGGATAATGAACTCTGAAAGCTGTCAGTGGAAGTCCTCAAAGTGGAATAGGTAATTTACAAGGAAATTGACAAGATGAATATTATGCTGCAGGCTGTACACAACAAATATGTGAGTTTGTGCAGCTGAGAAGTGCTAGGGCTGGGGCTGGAGGTCAAAAGATAAATTTTGAATACATTTGCATACTTTTGTAGCAGCGGAAGAAAAGTGTTACAAACATGTTCAGAACTTTCCAAGTGTCATTTCTATATATGTACTGGGGTGGAAACACAAGGAATGGCCAGCTTTTTGCAAGTGTTGCCTGGTGGTTGCAAGTGTTGCCTGGTACTGGGGAGACCAATCATTGTGACAGGTTCAGACATTACCTCAAGCCATCCTGAAGAAAAGCTATCCTTAATAACCTAACAGTAAGCCATGGATTACCTTGGCGACTTCCACCTGATTAACAAACCATGCTAAATCATCTGCACTGAATTCAGATGTCACTAAGCCATACTGACACAAATATGGCTCACAACCCACTGTACCTTGTGGCCATCAAGTCCAGTCTTGGTTTCAGGAAAAGCTGGAGACATTTAACCCGAGGAAATAAGAACAAATCAATTTCGGTTGCTACAGTTAATTGAAGGAATGAGATTCAAATGCAGATTGACATCCTCAAAACAAAATATGGAGCTTCAAGCAGGGGAGTACTGTGGATGGAAAGTTGACTTTCTACAATCAATTTTTCCATATACTATCTTTTTAATATATGTTGTCCTTGTTTGCTTTAAAGTGCTTTACATACACATGCTAAGGGCATGCTACATCGGAGGCTCTGTTGTCTAGGGCTAAAGCCTATTTGCTCCAGCTCAGTGAAGAAGGAAGCAGTCAATTGAATGTTTGCAAATACAACTAAAACCAAACTGATTCATTTGAAAATGTTTTCCAATTTGAGTTACTTTTAGAATTGTAATGGGAAAAGAAACTCGTATTTCTTTGCTCATATTTGTTTGTTAGTTCTGTTCTGTTTAACTCTTCTGTGTTGCTTTTCACGGTGGCGTACAATGCCTCTTAAAACGAAGATTTAAAACAATATAAAATCAAATATACCTCAGTAAATGAATGTCAATTCTACCAGTTCTGGAAAACAAAGTACAGATGCTATTGCCTTTCATCACAGTACTTCTATGCTGTTGTCTAAAAATACCCTGAGAGGCATTAGTTGTGTGATTTTCATCTGATTTCTGTTGATGGGCAACATGGAACATTTCCTGGATACATTGGTGTCCACAGCTCTACATTGTTTAACACCCCTGTGCTAAGGTTTTGCCTTCTCTATCCAAATCAGAATATTTGCATTGACCTTAATTTTCCCTTCTTACTCCATTCTTTTTTCATCTTTGGTGAGCTGAATGGCCTATTACACTAATTTAACCCCCACCATGCTCCCCTGATCTCCTCTTCTTACAGCTAATTGCCATCTCCTGCCATTATCTACCTTCTCTACTACATTGTCAATTATTCTTCTTTGCTCTTGTTTTCAGCACTAAAAGTATACCACTCGTTTCCTATCTTTTCTGGCTTTTGCTGCCTGCAGTCCATTGAAACTGTTGTCAAGAAAATAATTGCATACCTCACCGTCAAATCTGGAGTCCTTTGTTCAGTCCCCATCATCTCTGTCCTTTCAACTACCTTTGATACAACCCATCACTCTTCTGCTTGTTTTATGTCCCAAGTTTCTGTGATTATTTTATTTATTTATTTAGGAGACTTCTATGCCGCTCCATTCGCTGATGCCTCGGGGCGGCTCACATCCATAAATAAACTTCCTTAAAATAATATAAAATATGCCCTCTTCCTTCCTATCCAGTCATGTTTCAAGAAGGATGTGATGCTCTTTGCTTTCTTGTCTCCTGTTGGGTTCCTAGGGCTTTGTACTTGGTCTGTCTTCCAGTATCTTCTATCCCATGTAATGAACTGAATTCTCAAAAGTAAGGTGCCTTCTGTTGCTCGAATGGCACCACAAGAGAGGAATTGGGAGGCTTGGAGAAACCTTTAGTTTTACAAAGTACAAATAAATTCTTAGAGGGAAGAAATTCTAAGGGATAAACCACTCCCCAGTCTAAACATGACTAAGTATGCTCAGTGGCTTGAGTGTTTGGCAGAGTGGAAATGTAGGAGGCAGGAAATGGAATGCAGTATCCTGGAAGTGGGCATGGCTGACTCGCTGAAACTTGGAATAGGGATACACTTTCTTTGCACATTCAGTGTGTTCTGTATGCATTGTCCCTAATTAATATCATTCAGCATCATTTGTACAAGGATAACAGTGGGATAACACCTCTGCTGCCCTATACTAGAACTTTTATTATTTACACAATTCTGTATCTGCAGGTGCTTTACTGATTTTTCTTCCTAGCTGTTTTAGGTCCTCCTTATTTACTTTTCTCACCCATTGTCAACATCACCCTCTAACCTGTGCACAAAGCTTGAAAACTTGTTTTCTCTTTGACTTCTGCCTTTACTCTCTGTCTTTCTCTTCCCCCTCCCATCTTCAGTTTAGTTTGTTGCTATGTCATCTTGCTTCTACCTTTATAACACTACAAAATGTTCTGTGTTTGCATTCAGGACTTGGCTACTTGCACCTGCATTACCACAGTCCTAACTTTAGGAACTTTTGTAAGGGAGATATTGCTCAATTTGGTATGATGCTGTGTGTGCTGTTTCCTGGACTGTTTGGAGACAACAGCTGAGGAAGAGTTTTTTCCCCTGGTGCTGTACTGCTAAGAGAAGTCCATCAATAGATTTGACATGGGGATGAGGGTGCCCTTCTTGGCACTGGACATGGTACCGTAGTGAAAGGAGGGTCTCTTTTCTGTGGTCCCCCCCCCCCCCCCGTGGATGAGTGTTATATTGTGTTATATTTCATTTCTATACTACCTCATGACTGAAACTTTCTGGGCAGTTATTGTTTGGTATCTTCACAGAAACTGAGTTGATGAATATATGATACTGGTATTGGACATCGCCAACTGCCCTATTGGTGTTTCTTGTGCTTATTTATATTTTTAAAATATTTTTTAAATGAGTTTTGATCAACTTAATGTTTGGTTCTGTTCTTAGTTCATGTCTCTTCAGATCACCTTTTCCAGGAAGCCTTTGGAACATCCCTTTGTGCCAATATCCTACTGTACATTAGCTATAATTATAATTAATTTCATTTTCATACTGTCCCAAGCTAAAGCTTTCTGAGTAGCATATTATGCCTCTGTCTGTACCCTGTCTGTTTTGCTTCCTTTCTATGTTTCCTTTTGTATGAATCTTTTGTAAGCCATTTGGTATGGGTACTTGTCAAGCCTTTTTTTAAATTGTAGTTGCCTTATTATATAGAGGGTACTATAATTGGAACTTGATGAAATACAAGCATACAGTTAAAGTTTTTTTTTAATAAAGAAGGAAAGAAGATAAAAATTTGTTTCAGGAAAAAAGCCTGAAAATACTCTCTTTCTGTAATTCAAAGGAAAGTGACATTAATCATGGTGGGTCTTGATAATGCTGGAAAAACTGCAACAGTGAAAGGAATCCAAGGAGGTAAGTAATCTCTTTAATCTTATCCAATAATTCTTGCAGAAATTTTCTTATCAAGTATTAAAAGATGTGCCTTTAATATTTAAACATGACACAATTTTGAATGCATCCCATCTTAAAGCATCTAGATAGCCTTCAAATCTTGGAAACAGGTAGTACTTCTGAAAGCAACACCTAAATTAAACATTCATTTATGGTATAGAACAGGTTAGTAGAGTTCATGTTTGTAGAGTTCCTGTTTGTTTCTGGAAATAAAATTTGCAGGAATGGTTTATCCTGGGGTTGCTTTATGAAGCAATACCTTCCTGTTGTGCCAGACTGGGTCCTGCTGTAGCAACACAAACAGCAAAGGCATAGGGGCACTTTGGAAGCTGCCATAAGGATTTTGCTGCTTTTCAGTGTCAGACATGCTTAAGCACATGCCTCCTTGCATGTTTTTCCTCGCATGGCAGAGAAATAAAGCCTTTTCAGGCAGACTAAACCCTATAGTTGTGGAATTGCATCTGAACTAGTACATGGTTCCTTAAAGAACTGTCCTTACAGAGGAAATCAAGAATGCTATAGCAGTGTAAGCCCTCTCCTCCCTCCCCCCACACGCACACAGAAGGCAAGCCTCTTTGATGGGTGTTTAAGGCTTTTATGGAATTGCTGATATAAATATGTTTAGTTATTGCTATAATATGAAATACATTTTCAGGTTAATGAGGCATTTCATTATAGGATACCTTTTTTATATAGGACAGAAAATCAGTTGTTCCTCTCCTCCTCTCCTTTTGCATGTGCAGCAACACCAGTTCACCAAAACACAGCAATGAGCATGCCATCAGTAAATTTTACATAAAAATCAATATCATATCTTTTATGATATTGACTCAAGCTATAATTAGGAAAAAGTTCAAAGGAAATTGTATGTATATAACAAAATGCGATTCTAATAATATTTTATATTACCATTTATAATTGGGAAGGTATGACAGTTTGCCAGTTCACATTTATCTCCTCAGCCGTAAAGATTCCCTTTAGCATCATATTTCCATCTTCCAGCTTCAGTAAAACAGTGCTGCAGATGCACCCAAGCTCTGAATTGGATAAACCTGTTGTATTTGAAATTCAAAAGGCTCATATACACAAGGGATTTTCACTTTTCCCATTTCAGCAGCTCCCCATGTATTTTGAAAAGACACCTCTAGTGGTTAGACCAACCTTAGAATTAGACCTTCTGGGGCAATGTTACATTAAATCTAAGCTACATGAGAAGAGAAAATGACTACCCCTGGTAGTCTGACTGTAAAAGCACTTTGTACGTGCCTCTTTGGATAATATTCATGTTCCAATTATTCTCAGCTCAGCTCTTTCAGGTGGATGGTTGGTAATGAATATTGTTACTTATTTTTAGTCCGCATTGAATTCTTTAAGGAATATTAAGTCAAGTGAACAAAGTCTTTTCAATTAGGAGTTAATCATTTTCCCTCTAGTTGTTTATGGTGCTTATCCTTCAAAAGCACCAAGTTACAGGTATGCTACTTAGATTTTTCAGATATTCTGTACAATAACATTGATTTGCCTGTAAGCTAGATATAATTAGCATGACGTTTCAATTATTTTACTATAGAATTTTGTAATATGCTTAGAAATGCACAGCATTGTTTTAAATGCTAAAAAGAATAGACTGCAATCCATTGGGTCAGAATTCATACTAGGTTGAACCATCATACATTTTCTTTGTGTTCTGTGTCCCCAGCATTGAAATGCACAAATATAGTAACTGTGGTCTTAAATTTCAACATGATTTTTCTCAGTCCATGTTGTACTTATAATGTGGCTTTTATGAAAGAACCAATAATATGTCTTTGAAATGAGTGATTTCAAAGGGGTTTCAGCTCTTCCTCTTTTCTTGTCTGAAAGCCCTGCATTTTCTCCCTTAGCCCAAAGCTGATGCATTACTTTCCTTCCTTTGCCTTTTCAAATCTAGCTTAGATATGGGCAGTGATATATTAAAGCACATTGCCCTCTGTAAAAGCTTGATCTTGGAGTGGAAGACATTTCAACTATTTGCCTGCCTCTTCTTTGACATGTAAAGGCAACAGAATGAATGCTGGGAACTGTTTTCTAAAAGTAAATGCTAGTTGAAAAATATAAAATGTTAGTAAAATATTTTAAAATTCAAAACTAAAATACACCTTACCTTCTTCTAAGGAGTCCGGCATCTATCATAGAGAGTTAGCACAATGGGATATACTAAACATAAATATACAAATGAATATTAATAAATATAAATGTAACAATTCTTATTCAGACTGTATCACAACTGTGTGTTTTAATACATGTTATGTTTTGTTAGAGTCCCCTGAGGATGTGGCTCCAACAGTTGGTTTTTCTAAAATTGATCTTAAGCAAGGCCGGTTTGAAGTCACAATCTTTGACTTGGGAGGGGGAAAGAGAATCCGGGGTATCTGGAAGAATTACTACGCTGAATCCTATGGAGTGATATTTGTTGTGGATTCCAGCGATGTGGAGAGAATGGAAGAAACAAAAGAGACAATGTCAGAAGTCCTAAGGCATCCCAAGATAGCAGGGAAACCTGTGTTAGTGTAAGTAACAGAAATCAGCATGTATGTTTACTGATCTATAACTTGATATCTTAAAACATATTTCCTTTTCAAACTGCCTTTACTGCTGAATACAATCTTTCCAAGCACAACAAAGCAGGGAAATTAAACTGTACTGTGGTGCTATTGAAGTCATTAGAAATGAGGGTTTCAGTCTGATAGAATTGTTGTTTGCGCAGCCTGTACAGAAATTATGTATAGAATGCTTCCATATTTTAATATATCCAGTACTGCCTATAGTAATAATTCTAGTTGTTTTGATTAGTATGATGTTTGAACACAAGTAATATGGCTCTTGCATAATTCTAGCATAAGTACGTTGTGAGCAAATTCTTTGTATTAATGAGGTATGCATGTTCAACACAAGAGGGTGCAAGTGATGCGTTATCAAAGGACCTTATTTCATGGAATTGACATCCAACAGATTTTTCTAACTTTTGCTATGTGTAAAGGTCTTACCCCATCTCCCAGAATAGGCTTGGCATAATGGTGTAGCAGAAGATAAATACAATGTACTTAAGATTTTTACAAAGAAATGCGGTGTTTGGGCTATGCAATATGAACAGGATCTAGCTCAAACTAAGCTCATTTAGGTCCAGCTGTTTTTAAGTGACAGGTAAGCACATGCTTAATTCATTGGATCCTTGGAAACTTAACCATGCTTAACTTTGGCTAAATCATGTTCTTGTATGTTTTTTCTTTTCCTTAAGTGTAAGTTTCCTATATATTGGATGCAGTTCTTACTTGACAGAAATGCTTTGATTAAGGGTATTCTACATTTCTTCTTGAACTTAAATATAGATGGTTTCCTACAGATAAAGATTTTATCAGTCATAGGACCTAAAGAAAGATTGTTGTTTCCCTAAAAGCTGTTTAGAGTTTTCTTTAGAATGTTTAATAATTATCTAATTCAAAAGATATTCAATTCATTGGTCCATTTTTATTTCTTAAAAGCATTATTAAGTTACATGTTTGAAAAAAATAATATCTTAATAATAATATCTTATTATTAAAAAAATAATATCTTAATAATATCAGATGACAGTTTAGTTATAAAACATGGCGAACCAAATGTGGTATTTTTTTGTTATGGTTCCTTAACCTGGCATAAAGTTTTAACAGCAGGGTGGATAAATGTACACTGCCCAGAGAGCCCTTAATTGGGCTACAGGTTGTTGTATATTAGTTTGAGAGTAAATAGATAAATATATAATTGTACAGAATAATATACAAAAATATCTACAGAAGAATTATAATTGAAGTTTCAGCCAGTGCTTTCTGAAGTGCCATGGGGTTTCATTGGCCACAAATTAAGTGTATTTGTATTTATGGTATGGATGTGAGATGAGCCACATGTTACCTCTAAACTCCTGCTTCAAATCTTATCCCTAAACTCTTCCTAAATGATTAGGTGATGTGACCTAACTTTGGAGTAAGCAATATTAACTTGGAAAAACTGGAAACTTTAGGTTGGTTCATATATATTCTGTAATAATTAAACTTGAAGTGGGAAAGTGGGTTCCTCTCTCCTTCCTCAAAGCATGTAGCAGGACTTGTATATGTATATGTTGTGCATCTTTATATGTGCATGGTCTCCTACATACTATGATCTTTCCACATATTTTGACATGGAGCAATTTTGAGAATTGGGTTTTTTAAGAATATTAGGGACACTGCCACATTTCTGTATATACGACAATTCTGGATTAGCAACCACTAACTAATCCTTTGGATTTTTTCAAATTCTTTTTACATACGGCGTTTCATGAAAAAAAGCAGTATTAACTGCATATTGGAAAGATCAATTGATGGAGTTCTTCAGTAATGATGCAAGCAATTCACAGCACTTAATGGTTCTAACCGGTCCACCTAGTAGCCTAAGGACATCTTGAAAACACATATTCAGTGAGTGCCATGAATAAGATTTGCCCAAAAACAACAAAGAAGTTAAACTAAAATCTTTCCCAACCTGGTGCTTCTAGATGTTTTGGATTACAGCTTCCAGCATGCTTCAGCCATCATGGGAGTTGCATTCCAACATATCAGGAGGGTGCCAAATCGGGGAAGGCTGATTTATTACTACATGCAAGCATTTTGAGGGATGTGAGTTTAAGAAGTTGAAATTCCACATCCCATGCAGTGATTGCAAATAAAGGAACCCTGTCCTTGCATGCTGTTTGCTCACTTTTAATTTTTTCCTGCCATTCTACTTTTCTAAACAAAACCCCCTACAAGCCTAGTGTATTAATGTGCTTCCTTCTGTAAACATGCATACAGAATACTTCTCCATGGGTAGGTAATAAGCTATCTGAGACATAAATTACTTTGAAGGAGAAGGGGGCGATTTTAGCTCAAATGTGCTAGAGAAACTTTTTGCATTTTGACTCAGGCTCACCTCTGCCAGAGGACAGGATGATCCCTTTAGAGGTGACTCAGAAACTACCACTTTAACAAAAATACGATAGAACCAAGCATGCATAACTGGATTTGTTTAATCAAAGTAGTGCCCATGTAAGGTACTATGAGATGAGAGTTATCTAGAGAATGGGGTTCACTGAGAATGTATAACAGCACAGCCATTGAAGAATATACTCTGAAGGGTCTGTAGGAATGAAGAAGGAGGGTGTTACAAGGTACATGGCGTGGCAGTGCAGTGTGGCATACACTTCAGAAGAGCAGGATTGCAGTTTGAGAAGTAGTTTTAAAAGCAGTTAGAAGAAAGATTAAGAGGGAGATTCCTCCTCAGCAATACTTGAACTCCAAACAATTCTTCCTGGAGTAATCTTGCTGTTGTTTCTGATAAATGATCAGGAATTCCCCAAAGCATAACTCCTTGATTGTAAATACTAAAGGCAACTCAGTATCTAAACTAGCTAACCTGAAATAAACATATGAGTGGTAAAGCTGTTTCTGGGAACTTGTTTTCCAGATAAACCCAGAAAAACTTACTGCTAATGAAAGAAATGCATCTGGACATCTAGTAGGGTTGTAGCAGTTTTTGGAAAAGTCACTTGCAATTTCAAGGCTCCTTGTAGGGTATTAATACTGTAGTACAATGAGATTTTGAACTGGAGGAAGCTAGTAATGCTCTCAGGAGATTGCGTATTATCTGAATATTATACCTTTGCCCATGTTGATAGAGTACCTGAGCCAGAAATTTTCAAGCAGTGTTTGCTCTGGTTAACTAGGCCTCTTGTAGCTCAACTTTTCAATCAAATTAACTTTTCGAGCCAGGATATCAGTGAGAGAATGTACAAACTGATGATAGAACTAAGGCTTATAGTAATAGCTACCAAGAAGCAGTACAACTCACCTTAAGTCAGAGTGTAATTAGCTTGTGCATCCTGATTAATTAGTTAAAGACTTTGTTTTTCCAAAAACAATTTGAAAAAATGTATATTTGCGGGACTACCTCCATGTTTAAATATTTAACCTTGAATAACTCTTGGTTCCCAGATTAAGTTCTGTTCCTGAGGTCATTTTAAAATCAAATTTGTATGTAAGTTGCATCACATATATAAAAAGAATATAAAACACTTCAGAAACACTTTCATATATTCTAAAATAGCAGTCCCCAACCTTTCTGGCATCAGGGACCAGTTTTATGGAAAACAGTTTTTCCATGGACTGGAGGAGGGGATGGTTTTGGGATGATTGAAGCACATTACATTTATTGTGCACTCTATTCCTATTATTATTACTGCATTGTAATATATAATGAAATAATTATACAACTCACCGTAATGCAGAATCAGTGGGGGCTCCCCCCCAACCTGAAGCCCTGCAGCTCTGCCCTTACCTGCTTCCTGGCTCCCTCGCTACTCACATGTGCTCTCCCTAGCTTCTCCGCACCATTTGCTGCCCAGCTCTGCTGCTGCCACTGCTGTTCCCTCATCCTTGCGAGCCAAAAGGGCCTCTCAGCGGCAGCACAGGTTCAAATTGGCACACCTGCCTGCTCAGCGCCTTGCGCCTTGCTTGCTCCACCTCCCCCTGATCTGCAGCCCAGCCCTTACCTGCTTGCCAGTTCTCTTGTCTCTCGCATGTGCCCTCTCTGGCTTCTCTGTGCCACTTGGTGCCCAGCACTGCCACCTCCGCCACCACTCCCTCCTCCTTTCGAGGCGCAAGACCCAAAAGGGCCTGAATGATAATCCTTGATGCTAGCACTGGGGAGCAGCTGCAAATACAGATGAAGTTTCACTTGCTCGCCTGCCATTTACCTCTTACTGTATGGCCTGGTTCCTAACAGGCCATGGACTGATACTGGTCCATGGCCTGGGGGTTGGGGACCCCTGCTCTTAAACATCTTAAGCACCATAAAACATTTTATAATTATAATAATACTGTAATAATAAAATAGCTACAAGTACTTAAGTTAGACTCTACGTTTATATACAATATAGTTCTTAAACAGTTTAGATAGAAAGAAAAAATAGTTAAATGGTTATTAAAGGTTAGCACTTCTTGAGCTAACATTAAGCCTAACATTAACTGGATGATGATGGAGATGGGACTGGTGGAGGAGAGGGTGGACCTGGTGCTGTAGACTCAGGGTTTGATTCTACTGCTGGGCCTTCTTTCCTTCCACTCCACTCCTGCTCATGGACATGCACTTGCTCCTCAAGGATGCAGCAAGATTTACTAATTCATAAGTAGAATTTATAACTTGGATGTTCATAACTGGGGGACTGGGTGTATTTATTAGAAAGTTAGCATATATATGCTGAAAATACTGATTAATCAACAGGTTATTGGGAAATTGTGTTTGGTGAAGGTAATTCTTAAAATTGTTCTAGCAACAGCTATCACATGGATTACTTAAACCCATTGAAAGGTATTATTCACCTTGATGATAAAACCTTGGATGACATTTTGGGAAAGGGTATGTGACTTGAAGTTGACCTGTTAGAAATGCATGACAGGATCACTTTACTGTACTATAGTAATACAGATTTCCTACATTTTGTAAGCTGGTAACTGCAGCC